CCAGCACTAACCCAGCACTAACCCAGCACTAACCCAGCACTAACCCACCTCCCTGGGAGCACGTGGAGCTGCTCAGGGAAAATCTTGAATTTCCTGGGCCCTTTCAGGCTGCTGGGATGGTGACACGGGCAAATCCTGCAAATCCTGGGCAGGAGAAGGGAGAAACGACAGATAATAAATGATATAACAGATTAAAGGAAGCTACTGAAGGATGTCAGGGGCTTGCTGATGTCTGTCTGTCTGTCTGTCTGAACTGGAACAAGTTCCAGAGGGCAAATCCTGTCTGCTGCCCTTCCCTGGCTTCCCATCTCCCCGGGCTCTGGATGTGCACTGAGGGAAGCTGTGTGTGGCACTGCTCTGGCTCCAGTGCCAGCAATGTCCCCTGGCAAGGAAGGTGCCCAGCTTTGTTCTGCTCAGGGATATCTGGGAGACACTCCATGGAGAGGGATGTGAATGGACTGAAAACCAACTGGCAGCTGAGCGAGACGGAGCCTCAAAGGAGCTTTTGAGGGAGCTGCTGCATTCCAACCTTCCCTCCAGGGCTCGGGCACAAAGGGGCTTTTCTCTGTGCTTTCCTCTGCTTTCCCCTCACTCTCATGGTGTTTGTGGGGCTGACTCAGTGCAGGGCTGGCCCTGGGCACAGGGTGGGCTCTCAACCCTCTCAACCCTCTGCCTGCCCTTCCTAGGAGTGTTTAGGCCAGGCTTACCCTGCAGCCCTGCTGTGGGAACGAGGGGCCGACAGTTCTGGCTCAGGGACCCCGGGCAGCTTTTCCAGCTGATCCCTGCTGCCCTCTTTGCTGTCAGAGACAGGCTGACATGATCACACTGCCAAGGCACTGTGGCCTCCTCTCTGCACAACAACAGGGGTCATTTTGCCAGTCAAGCCGTGCTGACAGCAAAAACAGCACAGGGACACGTGAAGGGTCCATCCATGGGGATCCCAGGGATGAGCACTGACAGCTCCCTTTCCAGGAACATCCACCCCACTGGCCAGAAAGAAGCAAAACTGGTGTGAATTCAACAGCCAAAAAGACAAGGGACAAGAGCTGCTCCAAGGACAGCCCAGCCCAGCATCCCCCCTCTCCCACAGCAGCCAAACAGGAGTGTGGAGAGCACCACGTTTTCCAGTTTGTCACACTCCAGACTCTGGATTTGGACCCTGTGTTCATGCCATGATGATGATTAAAAATGCAAATAGAGGCAGATCCTGGAGCAGCTGAATGTCAGCCCTCTATGTCTTTATTTAAAATCAACTCCAGCTTCGTTTCAATGCTGTCCTCGGGCTGGGGCTTAGCAACCATTTCCACTTGTATAAACAAGTGTATACATATTTATGCCACCCCAACAGGAAACAAAAAGTCATCAATAAAGCATCTTCTTTCTCCAGCTGGAGCAGCAACACGAGGAGCAACAGCAGGCACTGGAAGAGCACCTCCCTGAGGCTTTGGGATACAGAGCACCCAGCCTGGAGAAAGACACTCTAAACCATGGCATCCTTGGGAATGTTTCCCACACCATCCTTGGGAATGTTTCCCACACCATCCTTGGGAATGTTTCCCACACCATCCTTGGAAATGTTTCCCACACCATCCTTGGAAATGTTTCCCACACCATCCTTGTAACTGTTTTCCACGCAGTGCCCAGGATGGATCACGACATGAATGTTTGATCCCGAGGTCTGAGCTGGGTTCCAGAGCCTGGAAAGCCCGGAGAGCTGCAGAGGAGAGAAGGAGCCTGAAAGAGGACACCCCCTGCTCCCCCTGCAGGGTAAGCCTGGCCTAAACACTCTTAAGAAGGGCAGGCAGAGGGTTGAGAGGGGGGTTCTTGTAGGTATTTGGTGTGGAAGGTGAGGAGGAGACAGAAAGGAATGGCTGGAAGTGGCCTCAGGGTGTGATCAGGAACCTGCTCTGGCTGTCCCAGTGTCTGAAAACTTCCCCACTTCCCTGGAAGTGTTCAAGGATGGGGCTTGGAGCAACCTGGGCTGGTGGAAGGTGTCCCTGCCCATGGCAGGGGGTGGAATGAGATGAGCTTTGAGGTCCCTTCACACTCTGGCACAGCAGCTCAACAGCAGCACATCCAAGAGCTCCCCCTGAGCTCCTATGTGGGAGAATCCTGAGGATCCACAGGGATATCCCTGCCCAGGAAGGGGCACCGAGGTCCTGCTGATGTTGCTCTGGGGTCTGAGCTCTGGCAAAGGGGCTAAAGGGCTGCTGTGAGAGGAACAGCTGATGTGCACAGGCTCTCTGTGCACAAATCCCAGTTTCCAGGGAGGAGGGGAACAGGCTGGGTGGTGCAGGCAGAGCAGAGATCAGCTTTTACACTTTCAGGATCATCTCTGCTCTCCTCCTGCTCTTTACATTCAATTTTTCAGGGTTGGGAACCAGACAGGTCTTTGCCCTTCAGGAGGGCCAGGGATTGCTCCCCAGCACAGCTGAGGAAGAGGATCTGTATCCAGAGCTCTTGAGACCACAATTCCCAATTCCTCTTGCAGATCTTTTCCATGACCACGAATTTTGGACGTGTCCTCCAGATGGACCTGGGCTCCTTTGCCCAGGCTGATTTGGGCTGGTGTGAGGCATTTTGGGTGCCCCATTGCCCCATCTCATGAGGGTGTTGCTGCAGCTTTTCCCTTCCTCTTCCCTCCCATCAAATATTAGATTTTATGGGATATTGCCTGGCAGGAAAACACCATTTCTGCTCCACAGAATCCCCAAATGGTTTGTGTTGGAAGGGTCCTTAAAGTTCCTCAAACCACCTTCCACCAGCCCAGGTTGCTCCAACCTGGCCTTGGACACTTCCAGGGATTCCAGGGGCAGCCACAGCTTCTCTGGGCAACCTGTGCCAGGGCCTCCCCACCCTCAGTGTAAAAAATCTCTTCCTTCTATCACCTAAATCAACCTCCTTGAGTTTAAAACCACCCCCTCCGTGTGTCACAACAGCTCCTTCTCTCTGGCCCCAGAAGAGCAGGACAGACCCTGCTCAGACTGAGATTTTAGGGAACAAAGCCTATTTTTTCCCCACTGATTCCTGCAGCCCCAGATCTTCCTTAGGACTCCAGTTTCTGGGATAATTGAGTTACAGCCTAATGCACTGAATGCAGGATCCTGGACTCCAGTTCAAGTGGGATATCACAATGCATTAGGCATTTCTCCTCAGACAAATAACTGCACAAGATGGGTTTCCATTATTTGTGCCTGCCCTCACGCAGGAATTGCCTAGGAGAGCATTACATTGTGTTTTAATTCAATAAACAAATGTATAACGATATTTTCTGGGAACCATCCTGCAGAAAGGAGCAGAGATTCCCCTCCCTGCTCCTAAACTCCAGCACTGGTTAAAAAATACCCAGAAAAAGGATGTTTTTAGTCCAGGATTCCAGGTGAGAAATGGATTTCTCCTTGCTCTCTGCCTGAGCAGCAGTTCTGGGTTAAGCCCAGCAAGTCCCACTGATTTGGGATCCTCTCTTTGGGTCCAAGTGTTTGCCCCAAGGAGGCCCCCATGAGAATGTGGCCCCCCCATCTCTGGGCGGGGGTATTTCCAGCAGAACAACCCGTGATCAGGATCAGGAAGAGGCAACAGGGACTGATTCCTTCCCCAGGAGAACTGAATTAATCCTGCAGCTCAAACCCACAGCTCTGAACACTCCAAACACAGGTTGTGCTTCATGGAGGGAGAAGATCCTTTGTGGAGATCCAGAGATTTTGGCAGTGGGAGCAGCTGCCAGAGGAATTCCTTAAACCAGGGAATAACACAGTCCCCACCATCCCCTTCCTGGTGGCATCTGTCCCTTGGCTGGGCAGGGA